TGGGTTGAAGTAAGTGTGCAAGGTACTCTCAGGTACTCCACATCTCTACTAAACTACTAAGTTTTGAAATACAAAAAATAATAGCCATACAATAACCCACATAACTGCAAGTAAGAGGTGTGGGTAATATAAACTAAGGGAAAGAGCTTCACAGAAAGCCCCCTCTACTCACTGCCTGAATGGGAGAATAATTTTCCTCTGTGTTCCAGCAGCTTTTCCCCACATAAATGCACTTTGTGTCCCAGGAAAGACACCACCCTTTCTGAGCTGGGTTCCAGAGGCCACAGCGAGCAATGTAGGGAGGCTTGCACACTGCTCTGTTCAAGGTTAAGAAGAAGAGTGTTGGGGGTGGTTCCAGGGGTCTGTCCGACCCCTGGCTGCCGCTGATTTCCTGGATAGGGGTCCAGCGAGGAACAGCTGTCCAGGGGTCTCAGGTAGTTTCCAGCCAGAGGTAACCCCTATGAGCTCGGTCTGAGGCTTCAAGTGGTTACCCCAGCCGACATGTAGACAAGATACAGGAGGCCGTGTAGCATTCTGTGGAGTCCTTTATTGGCAGGCTTCAGCACAGGGGGCCAGTGACAAACTTCCTCTGAACTGGGAAAAAGCTGGGGTTTTCATAGGGAAGGGGAGAATTGGGAGAAGGACCAATGGTTTAAGACCAGGGTAAAATGACCAATACTTCACAAGGAGACAACATGGGGTTCCGAAGCAGGAAGGGGTCCACAGTCACCATGACTAAGTAGTTTTGTCTTATCTTAGGGGACAGATCTCCAAGGAGGAAGCCTGTCAGAGGAATGGGCTTCCTCCACAGAAGAGGAAGGTATTGTCTGCAGTACCTGTCTTCCAAACTGACGACAAGTTAAAGAGTTGACTGCTCTATCCTGCTCCATCATTTGAAGTCAGTCCACGGCAGTGTCTCTTGCAGTATGATGGCTCTGACTTACTTTCCTAAATTTTCACTCTTACCTCTACTATTTTAATAAAGAAGGAGAGTAGCACAAACTGAATCAGTGAAAAATTGGTACTATCAACCCTGAATAATCCAACATCAATACTCTTTCATGAGGAAAATATTTGGGTTTTTTATGTGGTGGTGAAAACATAAGAGAGAGCAGGTGTTTATATCTTACCCCTACCCTCAAATGGAAACCAAAGATAGTGCAAAATTTTAATTTGATACTACAGATCATCAATATATGCTATACTAATCTTATGAAGCCTGAAGTGTTTGTTTTAAATTGAACAATTGCAAAAATGATGTCCCATTAAGGGAACCACTGAGACTGGAGACTGAATAGTGCTAGCAGTTCACTAGTGATTTCCAAAGAATAGTTGACAATAAAGGATTTTTAGCTGCCTTAGCTCTTCTGAAAGCAAGTGAAATACAGTTGGATGAATGCTTTCTTATACCAATATAACACAGTTTAAATTCTAGGCTAGAAGAAATGGTAGATTATTGTCAAGAGCCATCAGTGTACAGGACACAAATTTCTCTTCTCAGTGAGCTGCAGGCACTTCAGGAGGTTTGGTTTTACCTTCAGATGGAAATCTCAAGAATGTTAATGAGAAGAGCAATCCACCTCTTTCCTATCAGACAAGGCAGGACTGCTTGTAGTCCCTGAAAAATGAACTCGTGTTTTTTCATGGTCACATCGATTGATCTCAAATGTTATCTTCCAGTTTGTTTGCCTGATTTAGGGCTTTGCTGTTTACAGGTGAGCAGCCATTACTCTATTCTACAGTTGCTTGGGCTTATTTAAAATTCTAGGCTTATTTAAAATTTCTGTCTCTTTCACATGACTTTGTAATTATTGAAATGTATGTATGTTTTAATCGTTCATTAATGCAGGTACAAAATAAAAACTGCTAAACAAAACCAGTATTTTAGTGAACTTCAAACTATGTGTGCCAAACTTTTTCCATTATTTTTTTCAAGGGTTTGGATAAGTTTCTTTAAGTGCATGGAACTTAAAAGGAAAAGTGTTTAAACTACATGATGCATGGAACCCATGTATGTGTTTCTAGCTGGCAAATCTCCTAGTGAGCCAGAGTAATATGAAAGCAAGACTTGAAAGCCAGATGCAATGAAAATTTAACCATATTGCTTTCATAGCATGTGATAGTTTAATAATTATTTAAGCTTTAGAAATGTCACAGCATAATTACTTTCAGAATGAGTACAAACACTTTCATGCACAAAAATTGCTTTCTTCTTGCAACTTTTGCTTCTCATGGGAAAGTTATGCTTTAGTGAAATTTTTGAACTTGATCTTGTTCATCTCTTGATCACAGAAAAATTCTCAGTGAAAATTCAAAATACAAAAGACTGAAATAAACTGTACAGATCTTTTTACAACTAAGCATGTGTTTTCTTTATGCTCTTAAAACAAAAAATAAATCTGTGAAAGTATTTCTTTCATGAAAGAAGAAATTTCGCAACAAAACCAGTTAAATGGAAAATGCTAAAGAAACCCTATTTGCAGAGCAAGGGAATGGAAAGTACCAAATGCTGGATTTATAAGCATCCATAGAGGATTAAATTCAGCTCTCCTGTGAATGTGATACATTTTACTGGCCTCACAGCATACATGGAGCTCTAACTCTTCTGTACTCGTAAGGAAAATACAGGGACTAGAACTTCCATTCTAAATTTGTCCTGTATCTCAAACGTTCTGATGAATGCAGTTAATTCTGCAGTATAAATTGTGTTGATATGTAAAATAGTGTCAAAATCCCAGTCTACATTAAGATGCAAACACTTCCGCTTTACATAGCCTACTATGATTTGTTTACAATATGAGCAATTCAGGTTAGACTTGGAAAATAGAAGTTATAATGGTTCTGCTATTTCTGAGAAATAGCCTAGAGGAAAAAATACTCTCTGTGTAATTCAGGGGTGGGGTTGTTTGCACATTTTCTAAGTGGAAATCTTTTTGGAACAGCTTTACATCCTCATAGCAAAGACTTAAAGGTCATAAAAACTGCCTTTGTATCAGGAATGTACTGGAAGTTATTTCTGGTAAATTCATTGGAATTTTTTAATGTCTTTAAAATTGAAATTATTGCATGGTCTGCAGGAGCAAAATCACTGTAGTAATTTCACATCTCTTAAGGCTTGTGTCACCTTCTGTGCTCTTATGAGCTTTTTAGTGCTAACGAGAAGATGAACCTGTCATGCCTTTGGAGACACTGAGTGTGCTATAGATGGCAGCTGTTGGGTTGAAGACAACCTATGCAATGGCCAAGGTATAACCCTTTTTCCTTCTCTTGTATTTCACTTCCTGGGCCCAGACACTGAAAGAGACTAGTATGAGTGAAGACAGAGAAAGGATTAAGGGTGTATTCTTTAATGTAGCTCTCTGTATCATAGAATCATAGAATGACAGAATGGTTTGGGTCAGAAAGAATCTTTAAGATCATCTAGTTCCAACCCCCAACTGTAGATCGGGACATCTTCAACTAGACTGAGTTGCCCAGGTCTCCATCCCAGCTGGCCTTGAACATTTCCAGTGAAGGGCTATCCACAGCTTCTTTGGACAACTTGTCCCATTGCCTCACCACCACAGGGAAGAAATTCTTCTTAACAACTAAAGCTATTCTGTCAGTGTTAAGCCATTGTGCTGTCACTACATGCCCTTACAAAAAGTCTCTTTCCATCTTTCTTGCAGATTCCCTTCTGGTGCTGGCACAATTAGGTCACCCTAAAGCCTTTACCTTTTCAGACTGAACAAAGTTCTTAGCCTTTCATCATAGGAGAGGTGCTCCATCTAACTCAGTGGCCCTCCTCTGGACTTCCTCCAATATTCTTCCTGTACTGGGGACCCCAGAGCTGGATGCAGCACTCCTGGTGGGGTCTCACCAGAGCAGAGCAGAGGGGCAGAATCCCCTACCTCACCCTGCTAGCCACACTGCTTTGGATGCTGCTCAGGACAGGATTGGCTTTCTGGGCTATATGAGTGCACATGACTGGGTCACGCCCAGCCTCTCCAGCATCCCCATCCTTCTCGGCAGGGCTAGTCTGGATCATCCCCCAGCATATGCTGATACCATCAGCACCACCCTAGGTGTTGCACTTGGTCTTAAACCTCATGAGATTCCCATGCACCCACTTCTCAAGCTTGTCCAGGTCCCTCTGGATGGCATCCCATCCTTCATGTGTGGCAACTCAGCTCAGTGTTATCTGCAAATTTGCTGCAGGTGCACTTGATTCCTGTGTGGAAAATTTGGGAAATTTGCTATGTGCATGTGGTAAGCTCAATCACTTGTACATGAACTTAATGAAGATCAGAACATGTTTTAGTTTCACAGAACTACTAAATAACTGTGGAAAGTGCCAGTGTTCACGGTCCTGACATGCCCTTCAGTCTGGCAGCCCGTTAGGCTCGCTGCCTGTACTTGGCTCTCCTGCTGTGCAGTGCTGTGATAGGGAAGATAAGATAGCTGAAAAATAGTCCTCAAAGATTCACTGAGATCAGGGTGTGTCCTGCATGATTAGAAGAGCAATTAAAATTTTAAAGGCTGCCATCCATCCTTACCAAAGTATTACATCACTCTGTGTACAGGGCAGTGGCAGTAATCAATAGATACAATGTGCTGGGGGATCAGGAAGAGACAAGTTAGCATATCCCAGGTAGAAAGACTGGATATAATTAAGAGAAATAAACAATGCTTATCTTTAGAGGAAAAAAACCAAAACATCATCAACTATTCTGAGTTGAAAAGCAGGAATTCTTAATCAAATAGTATCGTTGGATTTATTCAGGCATAGAATTTCACCAGTCAAAACTACTTTTCTTGCAAAGAAAGCAATGTGTGTTGCTTGAACATGATGACTGAGTGGTAAAGAAACAAAGTAACGCATGTACTTTTATTACTGAAAAGTCAAATTCTGAAAATCTGAAGCCAGATACATCTGATTATTTCAAGACTTACTTGACAGATAATATAGGTATGCTCTTTGACTGAGGCTTTCTGACTGCTCTCAAATGCTGTCCCCACAGGGCCCAGCCTCCTCTCCCAGAATGCACTCCAGCTCAATTCCAAACCTGAAGGATCCTTCCAGTACTCAGCCAGCTACCACAGCAACCAGACCCTCGCCCTTGGCGAAACAGCATCCACCCAGCTCCCATCCCGCAGCAGTCAGGCCAGAGGTGCCATCCAGAGCTTCACCCAGGTACGTGTCCTAAGCAATTGTGGTCTCTCACACCTGAAATTGTGTGGAGTAGCTCCCAGGAAAGAGCTGTTTGGTGCTTTCCACACCTGAACTTCTGCCTTTAGTTCTGTCTTGTTCAACACACCTGCAGCAGGGTGGAGATACCATCTTGATTTTTGTAAATCTCTGGTGGGTTGACTTGCATAGTAATAAAGTAATCCTGATTAACAAGGAGATCTGCATGCCAGATTTACTTACTTGCTTGCATATATATTTTGGTAATAGCATGTTCAAGCATTTAACTTTCAAAGCAAATTTCTGTGACTGCGGATTAGATGTCCATCCTAAGATGTAGGACCTGCCAGCACTGGTCTCACCACATTAGTGAAAGCAGTGTCAAGAAAAAGAAACAAAGCCAGGCTGACACCAGATGTAAAATCTGCCTGGGATACCATACCTCACATGGTGCTGTGGCCTCATCTCAAGTGTAGGAAACATTTCTTTCACCACGTATTGTAGGACAGTCGCCTCTACATTTGAAACATTTTGAAAGATTGCCTCAGATACTCATGAAAACTTTGTAAATCTCTCTGCCTATCTAAACCATCCCTCCTGGCGCTGACATGTAACCTTCTCACCTTCTGTATTTTCACCGTGGCATCAAAGCCACTCAGCAGAAAGTTAAGCTTCAGTTTAGACAAAAATTTCAAGAAGCGTTCAAGCCTCTGTACATAAGCAAAATCTGACTGTGTTGTGTTGGTCAGCACAGGTTATTTTGTCTGTTTAGACGCAAACCATCCTAGCAAAGCAGATCATCTCAGTGTGATAACAAGACATTTTGCAGTTCAGGCTTCTATAGAAGAGAGTAGTTATTTGAATTTCAAAGCCTTAAATTGCTAGGAGATTTCAAATATTAGAGTCATTGCACAGTTTGTAAGATACTGAGAGACATACAATAGTCTATTCTCACAATTTCCTCTGAAAATATTCCTCTGTTCTCTAAAACTGAAAAATTAAATAAAGCACAGTTAAATTAAATTTAAAATTCTGTAGGAACTTTTTTTTTAATAGACTCCTTTACACCAAAAAAGACCTCTAAGAACAGAGTCTAAATATTAACCCAACACTGGCCACCTGTGAATCATGTCTCCAACTGCCACGTCTTCGTGTCTTCTAAATACCCTCAGGGATAGTGACTTGACAACCCTTTCAGTGAAAAAATTTTTTCCTGATGTCCAATCTCAACCTCACCTGGTACAGCTTGATATGAGGGCACAGAAAAGAGATTTTCTTTTTACTTTCCTCTACACTGTACTGTAGATATTCCTGTAGGAAAACAATTCAGGGAACTTAATAAATTTTCACACTATGATGCTGCAAAGGATGCCAGACAACTTCAGATAAATTAAAATATGTTTTGAAAACACTAACAAACTGCCATATAAACTATTAATACAACTAAAATATACAAAAGAGGTTTTAAAAGAGGTAAATAGGAAGAGGAAAATTCAAAAGTCAAAATTAAAAAGTTTTTAATATGACCATTGCTGATCCCACAATTACAGGGGAAAAAGAAGTCCATCCTAAGAATCGTTCTGTTATATCTATTATAATTAAAATAAGCCTCAGGAGCTGAAGCTTCTCAGATGGTGATAATTTCCTTTGGTATTTATGTGCAAGGAATATAGCTATCTCTCAACATGAGTGATAGTCCAAATGCTTGCAAAATAAATGTAAATATTCCCAAGGCCAGCTGTGACAGCGAGAACAATTTGTGAAAACGCAATTGTATAAAAAAGAGAAATTAATCAGTCTTGGGACTTCCTGTATAGTGTTGCAAAGTGCAGTCTAACATTTTTATTAATTTGGTGGAGTTCATTATAGATCATAGTTTTTCCAGTGCTTTGCCTACTTTAGAGCACAAAACTTTTATCTTCTAAATAATACTGGGATAGGATTTCTTAGCAAAAACTGCTCCTCTGGCAAGGAATTACTGTGCTTCCCCACTGAAAACTGCTTTTCAAACTCAATGTCCAACCAGGTTTAGTGCAACCTTGAGAATTATCATCTTATGTTGCAGAGTATAAGGCATAGCATGTTCTAAAAAGAGGAGTTTTCCACATGCTCTGCCATGTGTTTTCAAGGAGACAGGAAAGGATGTTTACATTCTGGATGAGGACTTGTTTAGCTGTTGGTAATGCTGTAGTCTTTTCACAGGCTGTGAAACAGGTAAATCCCTACTGTGTATTATCCTGTGCACCTGATGCTTTTGGACTGAATAAGCTGGCACAGAATTGGAAAACCTTAAAAACAAAAAAGCAGATGGAAATTAAAGGTGATTGAAAAGTATTGAAAACCCATTTTACAGTTAGTGTTCTAACTAGTCTTCTTTTTCCTATAAACAAGTCATAAGTTTGTCATTCATCAGACCACCACACCTCACTAACAAATAAGTGCCAGAATGCATGAAGTTTTTAAGCAGAAACTGTATACTGGCCACAAGGTAACAGGCTGCTTGATAACCTACTTAGACAAAACCTAAAATAAAGATTTCCCTTCTGGTAGGTACGGCCAATGATGACATGTTTAAAACCAGATTTCAAATATGAACATAAGAATTTTTCTGTCATAAAGGAAACAAGATGAAATCTTAAGATAGATTACTCTTATTATGGCACTCAGAGAACAATTCACTAGTAAAGATTATGGCAGTGGAAATCTGCAATGCTGCTTTGATTCTACCATAGGTAATGACTGTAGCTTTCACTGCTGCTTTAAAACCAGAGATGTACCATCTCTGGACACTCTGAAAAAAATCTCACACAATTCTGCTTGTGGATCTAGAAGACTACAATTACCTACCTTCATCTATATGTATGATCTTTGAGAGCAGGATCAGGTAGGCTGACAAACTTTCCTAGGAGTGTTGGAATTTTGTAATGGAACAATGGAACAAAATCAGGAGAAAGAGATGGAATATGCCATATTTGAGGGATCCAGAGGTATAGTCTGGCATCTGTTATTGTATAAGAGCTTTGAATATAGGTAGCACCTTCCTAGTCATGTCAGGGACTTAAAAATTACATTAAAGAGGTCCTGCAGAAGAAAGGCCCTTCAATAGGTCCTGCCCAAAGACTGAAGGGTGCATTCCAGGACTGGAGAATGTTATGTAATTTCCATGCCCTCTTCTACCCTTTGTAAGAGTGTTGATAGAGGCATTGGACCACAGCAGAACTGTGCCTTGAGTGAGGCCTTATGAATGTTCTTTAGGCTGACAGGAAAAAAGTAGCCCTCAACAGATTGGCAAGTCTCGCAGTCTCTGAAAAAGCTAAGAGCATCACTGAGACTGTGAAACAGAGCTGTATCCAGTGGACAGTCTCTAGAAAACTCTAGTAAGGATGAACAAGTTTTCTGCCTAAAGCTACCAACACACACCAATATTTAAAAGCCAAAGGGGCCTGGACGGAGGTTTTCCACACAAATTGGAAAATCCTCCCTAAATCAAGAGAAAGGGTTTCCTCATGGACCACAGTGTACTGCGTATGACTATGTTAGTATTCATCAGATGTGACCTTGTTTGAGATTTTAAGGGCAAAGAGAGAGCAAACACAAGTTGAAAATTGGTGCTAAACTAAAGTTCATCCAGACCTAAGATGGACATGCAGACATACTCAAAACTCTTTGAGCAATCTCCAAGAATCAATACACTGATTCATAATTAGCAGGTGACCTAAAGTTTCACTTAAAGTTGCCTAGCCATTTTGTAATTCCTTATCCATGAAAACTTTTCTGCAGAATAAATAAGTGAACACAGTTATTTGCCCCTCTCAATTCTACTCTATTGAACAGAATCTTATATTGCAGTCTTTTATTTACTCTTTCTTGGTTAAAGTTTCAATTCAAGTTATCAATTTGATTGTGAAAAAACAAAACAAAACCAAACAACAACCACAAAAACCCCACACAAGAACAACCAAAAATCATAAAAACCTCCCAACAAAACAAAACAAGCCCCCTCCCCAGAAAACAACAAAACTAAACCAACCAAACCAAAAAACCCACCAAAAACCCAACCCCCAAAAAACTAATTTCCTGGAATTCAGGGCATTAAATGCTTGAATGAACAGGCAAACAACAGTTAGACTGTTCTTTAGTCTCCTATAATCTAACTGGATATGCTAAATAATTTTCTGTATGAAGCTCTAAAGATACTGTTTTGTATCAGTAGAAAATGATCTTTTTAGTAACATTTAATGGGAAAGAAAATATTTTTATAGCCATGTTAATGTTCTCATGTTTTTTTTCACACATTCTTGATTCTAAAAAGGACATACCAGAATCCATATCTTGAATCCAAATAAGCAAGGCTACTTTTCGTTGGCATGCTAGGAAAATTAAACCTCTGTGTCTTGGAATAAATATGCATAGGGCTGTAGTAAGAAAGTCCTTTATTTTTATTCACATCTATGAAATAGGTTGATGGTAGACAATATAATTACTGAGAAGCAAATTTGCTCTTAGTTTATTAGCTTAAACACACTTTTGTTATCAGGTTGACAAAAATAATGGATAAATGGAAAAAAAATAAGGGAAAAATACCATTGTATTTCATTCTTCCCTATGAAGTACGTCACATTGCAGGGTGAATAATGATGTATCTTTATGGCTGTCTTAAGCCACAGACAGCAAGAAACACAATGAAAAACTAAACCACATTCAGTCTCTGAAAACACGTGCGGAGAATGCTGGCCCTTTGAAAAAACCTAAAAACCTCACGGTACATTTAAGACAGGTCTGAGATTAGTCACATCCTAGAAAATACTGCATGCTAATGTTTTCATTGCAATCTGTTCATCTGTAAGTTCTCTCCCTCACACAGAGCAAATGCTTAGCTTTTTAGAAAGTGCTATACACTGCATTTTTAATAAAGCATTTAATTATTGTGTCCCACCACTACACCTTGTTCCCTATAACAAATCATCATGAAATGGGATTTTTGAGGTTTTTTCTGAATTACCGCTTGCAGAATGCCTGCAGCTTTATAGAGATTTATTAGGAATATGGGATAATACTGGTTGAAATTAATTACTCAAAAT